GAAGTACATGCAACGCAGCGCCAACTGGCAGAACCTATGGAATCCCGATCAGGTGGACCTTATCCAGAACAAGGACGGCAAGGCAATCGACCGGACAAAGTACAAGGGATTCCTGATGCCACGACTGATTAACGGCTCGTTTGAATACCAAAACACCCGCATCTGCTCACCGAACACTGAGCAGCACCTTTGCTACTTTGACACCTGGCAGTCAACGTACGAGGGTTCCCCATGGCTGTATTCGTTCTTCGCGCCGCAGGATCACGACACGCTGATGGAGCTCATGGGCGGTCGGGGCGCGTTCGTCGACCGGCTGGAGTACTACCACGGCGGTAACATCGTCTACATGGGAAACGAACAGGGCTTCCTGACCGTTTTCCAGTTCCACTACGCCGGCCGGCCCGGGCTTAGCTCCCGCACCGCCCGGAGCTACATCCCGTCCCAGTTCAACGCCAGCATCAACGGGATTCCCGGCAACGACGACTGCGCCATGGGTGCCTTCAGCGGTCTAGCCATGATGGGATTCTTCCCTGTCGCGGGGCAAGACGTGTACCTGCTCATCCCGCCCTTCTTCCCCGAGGTCCGGATCAAATCGCGGGGTGCCAAGCCCGCCGTTATCCGAAAGGTGGCCGCGAGCGCCAAAGAGCTGGCCGAGGGCATATACATCCAGAGCGCGACGCTGGACGGGGAGCCGTACACGAAGAACTGGATCACTCACGACTTCTTCTACCACGGCGGGGTCCTGGAGTTCACGGTGGGTTCGACAGAAAGCAACTGGGGCACCAAGCAGTCAGACGAGCCACCAAGCTACCCGTCATCGCCAGAAAAGGTCGCTCCGACGCGCACTCAGAGCAAGAAGACGGGGGACAAGTAAACGTAGTAGCATTGCACGCACAAAGCAGAGCAAAGCCCTGCAGCAATAGAAACAGTTCATTCGTAGTAATAGAAATCGGCCAAAAAAAACCATGATGCCGAACCCAAGTCTCCATCTGCAAACGTCAATCTCGGCAAAAACGAGCACTACGCCGACGGCGTCTTTGTCCCTGTGACCGAGACGACATCGGGGGAACCCACTCTGGAATTTGAAATCTGAGCTCCCTGATTGGACGTTGGCGGCCCGGGACCCCAGAAAGCTAAAGACCTTAGCCCTTCAAGCCCTCTCTTTGCGCTACGCTGCAGACGGTTAATACTCCAAGTAACTCGGCTTCTCCCGGTCCACGGTTCGTTGCTCTTGGTACGGAGGCACCTTTCAGCTGCCAAACGAGCTTGCAGGATTTACTCGCCGTCTACCTGGTCTTTGGCTCTCGCCTGGCTGCATCGCGGAAGTATCGTCCGAGTCCAGAATCCCCAGGACCGGTTTCTCTCGGCTATCACCAGCAACCGGAAACCAGGGCCCGAGCTTGGTTTTGGCCCTTGGAGGGTGGGTGGGATCGCAGTCGCAGTGTCATTCAATCTTGGTCCCCTCCCCCCATTTACGCCTCTGCCCCAATTACGTATTAGAGGAACGTGAGAAGCTCTCTCCTCCTGCAGGGCCCCGGTCGAGCCCGTTTTTTAAGTGTCCCGCCGCGCTGCCCTCGACGAGCAAAACTGCAGGCCCCGCCGCTTTTCAGTGTTCACAACTGCCTCTCAATTGACTAATTAGTACCCTCACTCTGCCGAGGTACAGCTGCCTTTTGTAGTCCAGCGAGAAACTCAATTGCGCCGACGGCTTGCGGTCCGTTGCCAGCTCGACCAACCCCAAGACGGTCTAACGACGAATCCGGCCTTGGAGACGACGACCCACGACGACAGCGACGACGAGGCCTTCGGAGCTGCTGCTCGTGACTCTTCGCCTCCCGCCTCTGAGAGCTGCCCCTCCCTTCCACTTGGGCAAATCTGCCACTTCATCACTACCCCTCCATTCGGAGCTCGACAATCCACACGAAAGTCAAGATGAGCAGCGCCTCGCCCCTCGCGAGGAGCCTGCAGCGCAGCACCCGCAACCTCTCGAGATGCCGCTACCGCCCTACACACCCCGCACAAGCGCAAGCAGCATACCTCTCCAGCACAACCTCCAGGAGGACGCCGACCAGCAGGTTACCCTCAACACGGGCTGCTTCTTCATCCGTTACCGTCTTCCGCCCGCTGGGCGCCCGCACATTCACGACGAGCAGGCCACGACGCAGCGATGAGGAGGAGGACTTCGACCCCGCGTCCATTGAGCGCGAATCAGACCAGGTCGACGTCTGTATCGTGGGCGGCGGTAATGCTTCACCCCGTACATCTACGAACTAACAAGGGCAACATGGCTGACGAAACGCAACATCACAGGCCCCGCCGGACTCAGCGCCGCGATCCGCCTGAAGCAGCTCGCCAACGAGGCCGGCAACGAAGATTTCCGCGTCCTCCTGCTCGAAAAGGCCGGCGAGATGGGCGCCCACATCCTCTCGGGCGCCGTCATCCAGCCCACCGCCATCAACGAGCTCATACCCGACTGGCTCGCCGAAGACAACCCCGACCGCTTCGAGTACGCCACCCCGGCCGGCGGCGACCGCATGCGCTTCCTCACAAAGACCGCCTCCATCCCCCTCCCCACCCCGCCCCAGATGCACAACGACGGCAACTACATCGTCTCCCTCAACCAGTTCACAAAGTGGCTCGGCGACCGCGCAGAGGAGCTCGGCGTCGAGGTCTACCCGGGCTTCGCCGCCTCCGAGGTACTCTACAACGAGGTTGACGGCAGCGTCAAGGGCGTCGCCACAAACGACCTCGGCATGGGCCGCGACGGCAAGCCCAAGGAGGCCTTCGAGCGCGGCATGGAGTTCCACGCGCGCTGCACCCTTTTCGCCGAGGGCTGCCACGGCAGTCTGAGTAAGCAGGTCATCAACAAGTTCGACCTGCGCCGCGACAGCCAGCACCAGACGTACGCCCTGGGCGTCAAGGAGGTCTGGGAGGTGCAGCCGGAGAAGTTCAACAAGGGCAGCATCACGCACTCCATGGGGTACCCGCTGTCCAAGGACCTCTACGGCGGCGGCTGGATGTACCACTTTGGCGACAACCTCGTCTCCATCGGACTGGTCGTCGCGCTCGACTACGAGAACCCCTGGGTCTCCCCCTACCAGGAGTTCCAGAAGATGAAGCACCACCCGATGTACAAGGAGGTCCTCGAGGGCGGCAAGTGCCTGACATACGGCGCGCGCGCTCTGATCGAGGGCGGGTTCCAGAGCATACCAAAGTGCGCCTTCCCAGGTGGTGCGCTGATCGGCGACTCGGCCGGCTTCGTCAACCTGCCCAAGATCAAGGGCACGCACAACGCGATGAAGTCGGGTATGCTGGCCGCCGAGGCGGCCTTTGACGCCCTCTCCAGCAGTGAGGCCGGGGAGGAGGAAGGCACCGTCTTCCTTTACGACTACGAGGACAAGTTGCGCAACTCGCCCATCTGGAAGGAGCTCAAGGAGGTGCGCAACTTCCGCCCCTCGTTCCACACGCCGCTGGGCCTCTACGGCGGCATCGTGTACTCGGGCCTCGAGGCGTACGTGCTCAAGGGACGGGTGCCCTGGACGCTGAAGCACAAGACGCCGGACCACGCGGCGACGAAGCCTGCGGACCAGTTCCAGAAGATTGAGTACGAGAAGCCCGACGGCAAGATCAGCTTCGATATCCTCACAAGCGTTAGCCGCACCGGCACCAACCACGAGGAGGACCAGCCCGTGCACCTGCAGGTTAAGGACTGGGAGAAGCACACGCGGGAGACGTGGCCCCAGTTCAAGGGCGTCGAGAACCGCTTCTGCCCGGCGGGTGTGTACGAGTATGTCGAGGACGATACCAAGGAGCTTGGAGTGCGATTCCAGATCAACGCGCAAAAGTGAGTTTTTTCCTTCCCCTTCCCCGCTGTGGCGATAGGTCCTCCGCCTGAAGAATGATTCAGGGAACCTCTGATGGATGGTTGACTGACTCTGTCTCGATTCGTAGCTGCATCCACTGCAAGACGTGCGACATCAAGGCGCCCAACCAGGACATCAACTGGCAGGTTCCCCAGGGAGGAGAGGGTCCCAAGTACTACATGTCATAGAAAGAGGAGGAATTCGAGACGACGACGAGGCGGAGAAAATAGAAACCTACGACTGTCATCTCTTCTTGTGTTGCCTAAATGGGGTGAGTGGCTGTACTTGTTCAGACAAAGTAGAGAAGACAAAAAGAAACAGAAGGGAAAATGCTTCGAACATTCGGAAGCCCGATGACCATATCCATGTACTTCGGAGTAGAGCACGTGTTGGGAAGGCGGCGCGGAAAGCAAAAAATAGCTTTTTTCTCTCTTTCATTGGGCGCTCATATGTTGGCTTGCTGTTTGCTTTGGTCTACCTTTGTAATTGGATGGTGTACGGATAATGTAGCGGTACCCTTACATCGAACGGTGGTTAATGACACCATGGTTTTTTTCTTCGGTTCTTTCTTCGAGTCGGGCATATCAGACGAGGAACTTTGCCGGTGCATGACGAAGGCTTCTGGAAGAGCGCGAAAGTCAAGGGAGACCCGACCAAGAAATGGCACCACACGACGTCGTCCGGCTTGTGATGATGGACATGCTGTGAATCCAAGCGAGTAAGAAGGTCCCCTTGTCGGCTTATGGCTTGAACGGCCCCCGATCGGAGAAGACCCCGGCTTGGGGGAATGGGGACGAAATCGGAGACATGAGGGGTGGTTTGCGAGACGCAAGTAGTTTTTGGACTTCATGCGGTGGGCAAGGCTGGAATGGACAGATGGCTAGATTTGCGGGCTGTGGGAGTCAGAGTAGCTGACACGGAATGACGCATGACGCGTTCGCGATAAGCCTCATTGCGTGCCAGCGTGTGGACACATTACCAGCCAACGGTGGGAATAGAGAGCGACTCGTGAGACGTCGTTGGGCACGTCGGTTGTCCATCAACCGCTGCCCAAAGCCCAAGGACAGCGGCAGTCAAAGTTCGACAATTTAAACAGTCGTTTTGATGCGACACTGGAGGCATTGTCGTGAGAGTTGTTCAACGAGGCTGTCGGATGGTGGTGTTTGAAGTTGCATGAGTCGTAGTAGTGCAGATGGAGCTTCGCCAGGCCCCGCGAGGCCGAGATGCTCCAGATGCTGGAACTCTCGTTGCGCGGCGCGTCCCAGAGGTGAAAAAACTTATGGCTTGGCCTTGCCTTGCTGCTGTGTCTAGGAGAAGCTCGCACATGCATGAGTCGCGCAGGGCGAAGCCGACGACCTGGAAATGTACCTCGACTTCGGAGCGGATCCAGAGATACTTTGGACGCACAGACCAGAGGCCCCCAGTCTCCGTCAAGCCCTGGTACACGATACCTGGCAGTAAGATTACGGTGAAATTTGCATCTGCAAGACTGCTGCAAGTGCCCATCTCTGCCACGACGATGAAGCAGCGCCAGAGCGTTACGAAATCGGAAGCGGTTGTGCGAAAGAAACAGACGTCGATACGATGTCGACAAGTGCCCAAGGCCTCGTCGTCCACATCGGACTTACCGCGCATTTAGGGAAGTCTGAGTGTTCTGATGGGTGTCGACAGAGTTTTCTCGGGCGAAAGTTCGGGTTCCAGAGATGGGCCGTGATGGGCCGCGGCGTGGCGAGGCTCGCGTACACAGTACGGGGCAGTCTTACGACGGGGGGATGGAGCCCTTCGTTGGCACTGCTACGAGTGGGAGGCGGGCGACAAACACGCCCAACCCAGCCTTTGCAATGCTTTTTTCACATACCCCTGCCATGGCTGGTGGTGGTCGATTGGAGCCGGTCTGGAGTCAATGACTCACACGTCGGAAGCCGTCTGTTTGCTGCCGTGGCCCATGGAATTCCTAGCAGAGGGACCGCGGGTGGCCGAAAGCAGCGCAAGCGCCAAGGTGCCGTTTTCGCGCATTCCTGACCGCGCTTCGCTTCAATGTTCGTTTGTCATCGTGGCCGTGGCGGTGGTCTATGACTGTTTGCTGTTTCGCGTCGTCGTGTTGTCGCCTCCGGGCTTGGTCTGGTGACTGTCTCTTCTGACAGGTTTGACGGCGAGGCCGTTCGCCAGAGGATGGGCGATGGCGATGCTGCTGCTTTCTGGTGTGCTGCCGCTGCTCAGCACTGACGGAACATGTCGGTGCTGATCGTCAGTGAGGCATCAAAGTAGGGGGCAGGCTCAGCGTTTCAGAGCGCTAGCGTGTGGTTGGAGAGTGAAGGAGGAGTGTTGGAAAAGGGAAAAAGCCCCTTTGGTTGCTGGGAGGATGCAAAAATCATAAAAAAGGGGGGATGGGCGGAGAGAGAGGGATGGTGAAGGGGGGGGCCCGGTCAATGACAGTCCAGACCTGCGACCGAGTGGTTGGAGTGGTGGGTGTGGTGCAGCTGCCAAAAGGGACTGACTGACGCGGACAATGGGATTTGGCCGTGGGAGCTGGAGCTGTTGGAGCAGGACGCAGGAAGCAATTTGGCAGTGGGTGGCAGGCATCGCTGTAGGCCGCAGAAGGAAGAAGAACCGAGCGGAATGGGGTCGGCAGGTCGTGGGTAGATAGCGTTAGCGGTAAGGTAGCGGCATCCAGTCGGATAGCGTGGTAGGTAGCGCTGCTGTGGGATTTGCATTTGGCTGGTGTCCATCCAGACAGTAGTGGCCCATGGGCTGTCGTCGGCTGCATTGGCAGGCCAGGAAGAGGGCGTCTGGTTGGTTTGGATTGGGCTGAGAGCTGTCGCGGTGCGGGTGCGGGTGGGTGCGAGCGAGTGAGCGAGAGCATTCGTACTTGGTGCGCGGGCGCTATTGCCATGCCGTCTGGTTTTGATTTGTTTGTTGCCTCTAGGCTATGCCAGGCCGTCGTCATTCTCGGGCGGTTTGCGTTGGTGTCGCGACGGTGTCGGAAATGATGCTGACCAGACACGTCGTTTCGTTTGCTGGGCCATTGTCGTGGCGAGCGAGTGTCGGTAGTGATAGTAATACGAGATGTTGCATCGTCGCTGGCTGGAAAAAGAGGCAAAGCATCCGTCAAGATCCAGTCGGTCTGGTCCGGAGTGTAGGCGAGGAAGAAAAAAAAAAGCGTATTGCCATTTTTTCTCAGCGGGAATCAAGGAGTGTGTGTGGACGGCCAACCCTGACGAAATGGCGAGCGAGAGGGATGACCGATGGGCCTCCCAGGGATGGGCCAGTCAAACCGATCCGAGTTGAGTCGCGAAAAAGTGGAAGAAAAAACAATAGAGAAGAAGCAAGAAAATGCTGCGAGCGCAAAGCAGGCTTCAGGGCAGGAAAAAGGCTAGGTCTGGGACTGAACAGCGACTGTGGATGATGACATGGCCCCATATCAGGGAGGGCCTCTCACTGGAACACGACACTGTGACCGTGGCCCTGAGCTGGCAGGCCTGGCAGGCCTGGCAGAGGGCACAGCGGCGAGCAGCACCCGACAGCGGCATCACAATTAGGGCAGAGCATCGTCACCACCTCGCCAGCCAGCCGTCAGAGGTAAGCACTGGCCAGAATGCATTGTCGCAAAAAGAAAGAAAAGACCTGTGAAAGTACTGCGACCTTGGACGCGGTGCCGCGGTACTTCAGGGGCTGGGTGGTCACAACAGGGGGGACATGGGGGTGGGAAGGAGATAAAATGTGAGGAATCCGCGGTTTTGATTGGGTGCATCGCCTTAGCGCGACCGCTAAGCACAGGCAATGTCAAGCAGGACCAACCGCCACGGCGCACTGGCTGCCTGGGGCCCCTTGGCTGTGTGGCAGGGGGGTGTCGTTGGGGCGACTGCTCAGGCGGGCGATGGCCAAAATTATAAAGAGGCAGGCCTCCCTCCAACCCGCTTGTTTCGAAATTCTTGCGCGGAAGCTCCGACCGACGGCCTTACGTAGTCACACCCACTCACGTTCGGCCTTTCTAATTTTCCTTCTCCACCCCCACTCAAACCACCCCCAAACTCAAAATCCAACCAACAGACACCGCACACGATCCTGCATCGTCGTCATCGTCATCACAGCCTCATCGCACGTTCACCACCGTCATCACCGACGACGACGTCGATCGACACAGACACACAGACATCACCACCTCGACCCCCAACGAGGCTGATCTCTATACTCTCTCTACCTAACTACCAAACACTCCAAGACTAACGACGGAGCTGTCAACGTTAGCCAGGGCCCAGGTGGTATCGCTCTCTTAGCTGAAAGTGTACTCGCATATCCTACCCTGCACGAAAGAAAGAAAAGACCTGGAATACGTTCTTTTCGAGGCATCCCTTCGTTACGTTACTCGCGCGATCCCTTCCGACGACAGCCAGGTCGAGAACGAGTCGCTGCGCCCTGTAGACACAATCCGTGCGCATCGCATCGTCGACGAATAGAGACACAAGTGCTTTGAACCGTGACGAGGTATCCCGAGACGTCGAGTTGATTGGTGGTATCTGGGTCAATCGCGACAAATCCAAAGCGACGCCTACGAAACCAACGACTTTCTCGTCGACCTACCTCAACCTTGAGATCCCATATCGCGCCATTTGCCTGACCGCCAAGTCGAGACGAGCGCTACCTACCTACCTATCTATCTGTCTTGAGCAGTCGCTGTAGGGGAGACATTCACTTGTTTTTCTCCCACTTCTGGTATGGTGTTCCATCTCCTTCAGTCGTTGTTTTTCCCATCGCACCTGCCTGCACCACTGCCTTCCTCTACTTGTCTCGCACCTTCCCGACTCTGGAGGTCATCGGGGTGCAGGAGTCTCGCGCACAGACCATCTTCCATACACCTATAAAAATTCCAGCCACCTACGCGATCTACCCAAAACATCACCATTCATATCGCTGTCGCATTTCATTCTCCATTGTTACCTTCCTTGGCCGCGGCAAATAATTACAGCATCCAACTGTAATGGCGCGTGCTTGCTACAATGGTTAGATCAACGTACTGACTTTCGCAGATCTGCTCTTTGCCCCATCCTCGGCCTATCCCTCAAGCAACCGCAATCATGGAGGCGATTCAAACCCATCCCACGAGTGCTGCGCAAGCCAAGGCCTTTACTGCGCCTGGTTCGCTGTCCTTCCCCGGCGGCGCTCACGAGCTTCCTCCCCCGGCGAACGGCGCTCAGGCTCCCGTCAACGGTCAGGTCCCCGCCGTCAACGGTCAACAAGGCGCAAACGGTACCGGGGTGACTCCCGCGACCCCCGCTGCGACTCCTGCTGCCACCCAGGGTGGAAGTGGTTTGACTCCCACGCTGCAGTATGTATATCATGAGTGATCTTTGTCTGCTCCATGACGCTTATGTCGCTGCTTAAAGGAACATCGTTGCCACGGTCAACCTCGATTGCCGCTTGGACCTGAAGACGATTGCCCTGCACGCGAGAAACGCCGAGTACAATCCCAAGGTATGTTGCGACTGACTACCAGTTGTATCCCGATGCTGACTTCCAACACAGCGTTTCGCCGCCGTCATCATGCGTATCCGCGAGCCGAAGACCACAGCCCTCATCTTCGCCTCTGGTAAGATGGTTGTAACTGGTGCCAAGTCTGAGGACGACTCGAAACTTGCCTCCCGCAAGTACGCTCGTATCATCCAGAAGCTTGGCTTCAACGCCAAGTTCACCGACTTCAAGATCCAGAATATTGTCGGATCTTGCGACATCAAGTTCCCCATCCGTCTCGAAGGTCTTGCCTCCCGCCATCACAACTTCAGTTCTTACGAACCCGAGTTGTTCCCTGGTCTCATCTACCGCATGATTAAGCCGAAGATTGTGCTCCTCATCTTCGTCTCTGGCAAGATCGTCCTCACTGGTGCCAAGGTTCGTGAGGAGATCTACCAGGCGTTCGAGATGATTTATCCTGTGCTTCAGGGTTAGTATTCCTGCTTCCCTCGTCTCTAACAATTGCTAATTCGTCCCAGATTTCCGCAAAGTCTAGAAACCGAAGCAAAGGATGAACCATCAACGCTGTTGATGTATGATCGCCCAAAAATATTGCCGACTTGTACGATTAGACACCACCCTTTTTTCACGATACCACGACTGCTTTTTCACGCACCATCAAAAAAAGCGAGCGTCCGTCAGCTGGCATCTTGGCCATGCCCAAGACGCCTCGATGCTCGTTTGTGTTATCCCTTGATTTTCTGCTGCATTGCATTGGCGTTGGCACAGGAGGGATCCTGGACTGGAGGCATTCAGTCTGGGTGGTTTGATTCAGACGAAAAGAATAAGATTTTTCTCATCCCGCGACACTACATAGATTGCTCGTGGCATGGTCGACGGCAACGCGCAGGTCGACTTCGCCGTTTTTTAATGGAAGCAACTTAGATGCATGAGGGTCCCAGACGGTGGGAACGGGGAAGGATGCGTTCGTCGCCTCTTGGACAGTTGGTCGGGAGGGGCTTTGGCGAGTGATGAACTGCGAAAACAGGTTTGCGACACCACCTGGTCAGGGTGGCCAGGTTGATCACTCCATTATTACTCTGGCTTAAGTTTAGGGTTTGATGCGAGCTTAGCAGGTATTAGTATGAGAGCAATGCCAAACCTGATTTCATGAACAACATCTCATCGCTGCGATTTGTGAAAAATTTGCCAACGTGCCTGGGCCCCATATTTGGTCGAAAAACAAGAAACTTTTGTACATGTACAATACCTGCGTCTTCGCGTCTACGGTTCTACGTCGACATTCATTATTACTGATGACCACGGCCATGTAACACAGAATGCTACAGCTTGGGCTGTTCGCCCTTGAGCAAAATGCCAGGCACGCCTCCACGGCTACCGTCGTCGCAAGAAATGTTGTCATACAGATTCGTCACATCTTCGGGCTTGTTGATCGCCCTCCACTTCCACTTCTCAGTGAACACCTTGTCGCCTCTGCCCTCCAGCACATTCACAATCTCCCTGCCCAACACAGGCAGGAACTTGAAGCCGTGACCGCTGCCGCCCGTGGCGACAAACAGGTTCTTCGCCTCGGGGTGGTGGCAGATCAAGAAGTCGCCCGTCTGGGTATCGGTGTACCAACACAGCCGCGTCTTTACGAACGGGCGGTCGTGGATCGCGGGGATCGGGACGATGGTGCGGACGGCGGTGCGCAGCGCATCCTCTCCCTCTTTCGGGACCTGGAGGTTGGGGTCGGTGATGTGCGTCGCGGGCAGGGAGACGGTGCTCTTCTTCGCGGAGGACGAGGGAGATGGGTGAGGGATCGGTGTCGGGTTGAGGTAGCCGTACGCGTGGCGGGCGACCTTGACCTGCAGTCCTGACGGAGGGATCATGAAGAGTCCTGTGCTGAAGTTGAGAGTCACAGGCATCTTGGAGAGGATCTCGAGCTCGGAGGGGGTGATGTCAATGTATCCGAGCACTTGGCCGGTCGCGATGGCCTGGCCTGAGAGATCGACAAGCTGGCCCGTCCAAGCACCGGCGGCGACAATGACGAGGTCGGCCAAAAGGACACGGCCATCGGTAAGCGTTGCGCCGGTGACGGTGGAGGCGGAAGAGTAGTTTAAGCGGGCAGCGGTGCCAGAGACGAAGTTTACGCGGCGAAGGGCCTCGACGCGGCGGGCGAGGTACTTCATTGACTCGCCAGCGTCAGCCCAGCCAGCCAAAGGGTTGATGTAGCCCCATGTTCCAGGGGCGATCGGGGTGCCAAGGTGTTCGCGGATTGCCTCGGGGGTGGGAAGCTCTTTGATGATCTTATCGCCATCGGCCCCTGCGAGGGAGACGACGTTGTTGTAGCTTTCGCGGACGTATTCGAGACTGGTCTTTTTTGGTGGTGATGATGTAGTTGAGGCTGCGGGGGAAGGGGACTTGGGGTCGGCGACGAGACACAAGCCGGATTGCCGATACCGGCCTTCACCTCCAAGGTCTGAAGGGTTTGTGGTCTTGCGCCATTCCGTCTGCGCTTCGGCGGCGAGGCGAGCATAGGCTGGATCGGCGTAGTCTGAGCGAATGATGCGAGAAGAGTCAACGCTGGCGGCGTCTTCACTTGGACCGGGGACGGGGGAGCGGTCGAGAACGGTGATCTTGGTGGAGGCGTAGCGGGGGCGGAGGGCGAGTTCGTGGGCTGTCGTCAGGCCGAAGACGCCGGAGCCGATGATGAGAATCGAAGAGGGGGGTTCGGCGGGGTCTGCCATTGTCGCGTGTCTGTGTGTTCGTGCGACGCGAGGGACCTCAGTACAGGATGCGATTGTGCGACTCAGGACGGTACCACAAGGTGGGAGGTAGATCACGGTTCGCGATTGGAAGATTCTGCGAAAGTGTCAAACTGGCAACACCAGACGAATTGGAAAAGGGAGAGATTTGCTGCGTAACTTTAAAAGGGCACGGTGGGAGAGGAGGAGAGACGGGGAACGGGGAGGCGGTGGTTGGGGGAGGAGAACGTTGAAGGGGATCACCCCGGACCGGCGCAATATCGGAGTCGAAATTTGCGGTGTCGTGGTTTATCGGCTTGCCTTACTCGTTATCGCGGGGAACACCGTTCTTCTATCGTAAGTTTTTGCAGCACGACTGCGGGCGGGCCGGGCTGGAACTTGGCGTCCCCTGGCTTTCGGGCGTGGGGCCGGGACTGAACTTTTTGGAGATCCCAATGCCGGTGGTGGGGGCCGTAGAATGTGTTGGCTTTCCATTTGGTTCAGAGCCCGGCCGCTTGGCCTATTCGTACTTGGAGGTTGTACGGATGTAGGGTTCGATGTGCAGGATGGGGCGGTGGGTAAGGTGTATCGTGTCGCTCTGCGGTAAACTGTCCGCGAGGGATTCCGCGCCTTTGAAGCTTGGCGGCAGCATCTTGGTGTCGGGTGCTGGTCAATGTGATGTTCGGAATCGGAAGCTAGATCCGGCGGCGCTCGGCTCGGGCTACTCAAATCCAACGGCATGGTGTTGTTGTTGGTTCCTCAAATCCCACCCCTGCGGTGTCCATGTGCAAGGTGTTTGCGGTGAGGAGGCATTCAATGCTAAATGACCAATCGATACTTATTGGTCTCCTTCTAACACGGCGTGCCTTCCTTCCCTTTGCGTCGCAACTTCCTCACCTCGCGCCTGCCTGGAGCTAAACCGACCCTACAACAGGCACTTGTGCTTCACTTCAACTCAACAAGGCCCAATGGTCTAGTGGTAGGATTCGCCCTTCGGGTAGTAATACTCTCAAGCATAGCTTGATTGGGCGAGGTCCCGGGTTCAAACCCCGGTTGGGCCCCTTTTTGCACATCTGGTGGTGATTCCTGCCTGGTGTTTTTGATACTGGCCGAAAGACTCATTCTAACGCTTCGGCGATAACTGCCCAAGTCACGTCGCGTTCTTTTGAGTGAGGTCTAGGCCTGGATTATGTCAGCTGCGCCGGCATTTGGAGTTTGCCTCACTGCCTTTGCGAATCACGCCCATTCGCCAATCACCCCCGGCGCCCGCGGGAATTGTGATGAGGCTGACTTGATCACCGCCGACCGTTGGGCCGTCTAAACAAGGAAATGCTGATGCAACCTGGGACAAATTAAAGCGCAGCCCTCCGTCCAAATGCCTGCCCCCCAGCCGTACGAATTGATGAAGCTGTTCGCACTAAGCACCGTGCGGGGTCATCGTCACATCCCCGCTTTCAGCTGTTGGTGCCCACGCCCACGCCGTCTTCCCTGTCTCAAACCACCGACGCTCACTCACCAAAACTTCCTTCACAAACAACTCGTCACCACCACATATCCAACATAAAAAATATGGTGAGAAACTTACGCTCCGGCCGCCCGAGATACTCCTATTTATGAAGCTAAGCACAATGTTCAGGCTGCTGCTGGGTTGACTGAAGAGCAAAGGGCGCAATACAAGGAGGTCTTTGACCTGTTTGTGAGTTTCTCCCTCCCGCTTCCCCTTTCCATCAGGCTGGCGCCATGCCGAGCCTGATTTTTTTGGGCTGGCCTACGTCGACCTTCGACGACACCGGAGTTCCTCATTTTGCTAACTCGACAACAGGACAAGGACGGGACCGGTCAGTAACAACACCCTTTTTCGAGCCGCGAACTTGCTGCGCCCCCTTTTTCTGGACGACAGTCGGGAATTATTTTTTAAACTCGATCGAATCTTTTTTTTTTTCCTTAAATCCGCTCGGGAACGGCGTGGCTTAGACCGTTCCATCTCATCTCGGATTTGCTGCAGTTCCCTTTTTGCTTTCTCATCCCAACCCCAAACTGACATTGTTTCTGCAGGTGACATCACCGCCCAGGAGTTGGGAGAGGTCATGAGGTCCCTGGGTCTGAACCCCAGCGACACGGAGTTGACGGACATGGTGAACGAGGTCGACGCAGACAACAACGGCACGATCGACTTCAATGGTACGTCGTTGCGGTTGCATGGATATGAAGCATCTCGAAACGGGCAGCTAACTCGACTCACTAGAATTCCTCAACTTGATGGCGGTAAAGGTGCAGGTCGGCGACGCTGAGGAGGAGCTCAAGAACGCCTTCAAGGTGTTCGACCGCGACGGCAGCGGCACCATCTCGGCCGAGGAGCTGCGACATGTCCTGAAATCGCTGGGCGAGAACATGACCAACGCCGAGATTGACGAGATGATCCAGATGGCCGACAAGAACGGCGATGGAACGATTGACTGTAAGGAGCACCCACCGCATCGACATTGCCTGCCCCCTTTGTTGTGTTTGGGCCTTTTGGCACGCACGATACCTCGTTATTTGGCAAGCAAGCTGACCTTCAACAAACAGATGATGAGTTTGCGTCTATTATGATGAAGGACTAAAAACGAAAAGAACGGGAAAGAGTCCTAGGCGGACCAGCTCTTGTTGATGATATCTTGAGTTTCATTTCCTTGATGAAGGGTGTCTTTTACAGGTCACCTCATACGGTATACAGGCAGGTAGAATGAATCTGCTTCACGTTGGACCTTCAGGTGGTCTATCTCTAAGCGATGGTTTCCTGGCGTTTCCAGCCCCCGGTTTCTTTGCC